TCAAATTAATTATATTATATGATTATAGTACTTAATTCTAAAATTAAGGTTATTTAAGAGCCCAATTTATAAACTCATCACATGTCTTGAGTGAAAGATTGCTTGAGCAAGCATAGACTTTTTTTTTTAGTTGAGGGCCTAGAGGTTTGCACTTCACAAGGGAGGGTGACGTGCTGAGGTTTAGATAGAAAGTTTACCTTGAGGGAGTTAAGGGTTATGAGGGGATTCACACTGTTACTCTAACTTGCCTGCACCTTGGGTCCTCTTATTCGGTTTTAGTGGAGATCATGGAGAGGAGCTATAGAAATAAGAGTCTTAAATGCAAAAGTTCTGTTAGCTGAGGAGGCTAGGGATCTACATCTCTTCCAAGATGGGAGGCAGTAGGAGGGAACAACACCTCCATCAAAATGAGGAGCTAAAGGATATATAACACCCCTGTTGGGCTAGGAGGTAAATATAGGGGAATACCTAAAGAGATCAATATCTCTTCAATAGTGACGAAGTAATGGAGGCATGACATCTCTGCCATGCTGGGAGGCAGAAGGAGGGAGATTCTTAATAGTTTTTAAAGGTCATTGTTCACCTGTTCAAGGGAGAAGGGCTTCTCTGCCTAGTTATGTGTTAAAAGTTAGTCACTTATAGGGGAATACCTAAAGAGAAGGACCTTTGTTGAGTGGCCATAGTTTGAGTTTCAATGAACTAGTATAAATCAAATTTATGTACTCTTCACTTTCTTGTGATTTATTATCTGATTTTGCTTATTTTTGAAAGATTTATTTAGTTTACTATTGTTTATTTTGGTGAAAGAACATGTTAGTTTACTTTTAATTTTTCTTATGAAGGAATTTTGGGTAATAAATCTCTAGTTAATGTTTTTGTTTATAAAATTAACAAAAAAGAAAAAAAATACTAATGTTTTAAAAGTTTAAAAATAAAAAAATAATATTGTTTTCTCTTGGGTTTATTTAAATAGTTTAATCTCTTAAATAAATTTCGTATATCTCAATTTTTATCTTAAGTAAAAGATTATTTAAAATACCAATTCACCCCACTCTTGGTGTTCCATAAGCACTTTCAACTTGTATCGGGGTAGGTTTCTCACTTTTTTGGGTTGCACACCTTGAGTTTAACCACATGGCACACTTTGGTAAATATTAACACTTTGGTAAGGTATTTTATTACCCAAAACTTCACTTTTTGATAATATTCCTTTCAATTTTTGGAAGATTCATATGTTGATTATTTTATAATCCATTGATTTTTGTATGTGGCATATAATTAGATTTTATTATTATGTGCCTTTTAGAATTGTGAAAGGGTTAAAATAGATATTTCCTTTACTAAATGGTCCTTAAAAGATCATAATTTAGTATAACTAAATGCAAAATGCCTAAACTATTTTTTATGCTTTAAAATCTAAGGATTACATGCTTGCTTGTACTGATATTTAGGATAGGCTTTATATAACATATGAAACAACTAGAGAAGTAAAGCAATCACTTGTGTATCTATTATTGCATGAAATAAAGTTTTCCTCATGCAACCTAATTAATCAACTTCTAACATGTATATAAAGTTTACAAAAATCATTACATCCTTACAAAGTTTGGGTAGAGAAATTCCTAACTCTAAAAAAATTAACAAAATCTTACATATTTTCGGAATCTTTAGATGCAAAAGTTATAGTATTTGAATAAAGAGTTTTAAATTATTATTCTTTTTATAATCTACTTGGCTCTTTGGTTACCTACGAGCAAAAGGTGAGTTAAAGACATGCTCATGCATGTGAATGAAAAAAAGGAGAAGGCAATATCACCCAAAGCTATTGAAATGGATAACATGGAGTCTGGTTCAGACATAAATGATGACATAGCATAAATGACTAGATAATTCATAAGATTTCTGAAACACAAGCAAAGTACCACTTTGATAAAAAATGAGATAAAAACACAAAGTCATAAAAGTTTTCCAGTGATGTTGTTTATTATGAATGTGAAAAAGCCAAGTCATATCTAATCTAAATGCCTAAACATCAAGTGTCCCAACAAAGAAAAAGGTGAAGAAATTTTTTTTTGAAGGTGTTTTCGGTTATTTCTTATTCAGGCTCCCTGAATATCTAAGCTTAAGAGGACATAACTAATTTATGTCTCATGGCTAAAAATAGCACTAGTTACACTAATAATGATTAGCTATGTGTCATATCATATAATGAATTATTCTCTCTTTTAGAACAAATGCATGATGTTCAGAGAAAATTAAAAAAGTAGCATTCATATCTTAAAAGAAAGCATTCAACATTCCAAGAAAAGCATACCAATTTGTTTAATAATTATTCAAACTTAAGAGTTGATCATATTTAATAAGATTAAAATTATGAATCATTAAATAAAGAGCATATTTCATTTAAACAAAAGTATGAATTCCTAATTGAAGAGCATATTGAATTAGAGGAAGCATTTAAAGAATTAGAGGAGTTAGAATTAAAAATTGATAGTAATCAACATGAAGTATTAATATAATCAGGCATATATAAAAGTGCAAATGAACATTTAATAAAGAAAATAATAGTACTTAAAGAAAATACATAAGGGCCTATACACACCGAAAGGCCATCTTAAAACATAGCGTGCACCACCATATTTCGAAAGAATATATCATTCCTTATGTAGATTAGTGAATCTATTTTTAGGAATTATATGTTATTCTTATGGCACATTAGGGCATATTGGACTCATTTGCACACAAAAAATCCAATGTAGAACATATTTAGTGTGGAGGTCCAAAATGTTATCAATAAAACATAACATACATTTATCGCAATATAAAGGGGGACCAAAACTCACTTGGGTTTTTAAAATTAAACTATGATTGATGTTAAAGGTGTACTGTATCAAATGGTTCAGTGAGAGAATGGGGTATTGAGACAACAGATTTTTAATTTCAAGGAATCATTACATGCTATAACTTTTATTTGTGTGTGTGTGCGTGTGTCTATATATATATTGTAACTTCTATGTTTATATTTTAATTATTTTATTACATAGTTTTGTAATTATATGCACATGTATTTTGTTGTTTATTTTTATGATTTATATCGATGTTGATTTATTCCATATTTTAATATTTTTTTAAGAGTCATGTCAAAATTATTTATATGTGCTTGTACTTATGAAATTATCCATGGTCATTCCACACATAACCGTAAAACAAACTGTAGCTCATACTATATAATATACACATCATACTGTACATTATAAGTTGGATCTAGCCATTAGGGACTAATAATTTTTAAAATCACTACTTAGGATAATTAATTTTTATTGATGATATTGTACGAACTATTCATAATATTGTATAATATATATGGTCAACTAGTCTTACTAACGACTCCTCAAGATGATCAAAATTACACAGATCATGTTGGATGATCATTGATCATACTGTATGATTTTACCTTGACTATATGTTGTCGATGAGATATTTTGGAAGGAGTTGATCAGACATTAAGATTCACTGATCATACTATATGATTTAACTGAACCTATAAATTAGAAGGATATTTTATTTTTTTCCTTCACAACTTCAACCAGATCCCTATTACAACTTAGTTTTCAAAACTATGTTTTTACATCATGTGAGTTTTTAATGACACATATATATTATTGTTGTGATTACTATTTCTCCTAACATACATTGGATATATTTTCTTTGTGTTTTTTGTGTGTACTAACATTTCAGAGAAATTATACTCCAAATTGTGGAAAACTTCAAGACAAATTAGAATAGGGTTTCAATCTTAAAAACAACTTTAAAAGTCTCTCCCTCTTATATCTAGAAGTGGACATTCTACAATAAGAATCACCAACCATCTAGGCTACTAAACAAGCAAATTACGTCCACGGGGGCCGCCACATGATTGCTTTTATTTCATGATCATGGGAATCCAAGCCTTTACAACTTTTCACATATAAAATATGCATGATAATTCAATCAACTGCTTGACAAATGTATAATAGTATCAGTTAGAAGTTCAACATTGGAGGTTGATCGGTAAAATTATATCTGTGGTCGTCAATCTCTAGAGATGTCGGTAAAATTATATATGTGGTCGTCAGTCTATAGAGATGTGATGATGATAGTGTGGTGATGAAAGTCGGATGTCGACAATTGGGTGGTAATGGTTTGACAATGGGTATTGGCTGGCAAAAGTCCAGTGGTGGTGGCCACGAGATGTTTGAAGGTAGAGACAGGACGGTGAAATACTCGACAATAATCGGTTGGGGAGGGGTTGTTGGCAATGTTGGTAGGTAGATACCTGAGATTCTTTAGGCCTTAGAACTCTCTTAAATCTATATTGACTGATACCCTTTCTTTTATGTAGTGGGGGTTAATTTAAAGATTATTAAAAGAACGTGCTTAATAAATATGTAGAATATCAACAGCTCTCTATCGAATTCCATTAATAATTTACTTGATCACGAAGCATTCAATCACCATTTATTTGCCTTAATGATGTTGAACTTGAGCAATCTTGGGCTAGTTGGATTTGACTCATCAAGCCACTTGATACAACTATAAACATGCCTCACTTAGAGATCATTTGCTCATTCATTTAAATTATAACATTTTTAAAATTTTATTTTGCACTTCAGCTCCTTGATTAGTACTCTGATTAAACAACTTTTGTGTAGGATAGTTTTTATTTTTGAGATGTTCATTTAAACAAATCTTCACTTGAATCAAACTTTTAATAGTCCCAAACTTAATTTTTAAAGTTTAAATAAAATTTATCTTGATTCATGCCCAATAAAAAAAAAATTAAAAAAAGATTGAAAATTTTTAAAGTGCATTAAATTTATTTTGAATAAAGATATCTCATCAAAATTTTTTATCTTATCTACACTCAAACTTGCTCAGCCTCACCAGCAAAATAATAAAGCATATATTGGTATGTTTTCCAAAAAACACAATTGAGTATATATTATTCAGCGCAGAACGGGTTAACAATAAGACAAGTTCCTTTTTATTTACATCAACAATATACAAAAACAAACCATTCTTTATGAAAATATTCAGAACCCCATTATATAAATTACATCCTCACGCCAAAAACACAAAATTAAAGGACTCCTTCCCCCTTACCAGCCTGCTAAACAAAAAATCACCTCACAAACTTTAAAAAACGATACAAAAACAAAAAACTCATCCCCCTCTATTATTCATATCTACAAACAAAATTACAGGTTAGAGGAGGCACGAGGTGAAAAACCCCTCGAGACTGTCATAATTTTACAACAAGGAAACATTTCATTTTTTTTTTCTTGTTCCCCTTGGATCTCAAAAGCTCTTCAGTAATTTCTTCTTTTACTTTATATCTTTCTACTAAATCAAGTTAATCCTCTTCCTCTCTTCCTTTTGTACGGATCTTCCGTCAACGAGGAAAAGAGATCGCCGGTGCGGTTAAAACGCCGGCGAGCTTTTTAAGCGACGGCGGTGATACTGCATCCACGGCGGCCGCCGCCACCGAGGCAATCAAAACCCTCGATTCTGACCGCTGCCGGCTTCAAGGCAATATTTGTCCTGGCGCAGTTACCGGAGTTCCGTGGCGATATCGGTGACGAGGCGGCGATTCCGCCGGCTAACGCCGCCGTCAAGGGCGACGGAAGTGGACCGACTGGCCGGTTCTCAAAGAACAGGGCGTCGTGCACCACAGGATTCCCAGCTCGGCTTGGCGGGGAGCCGCAGAAGAACGGAGGTGACATCGATAAGGATTCCCCTCCCTAGAAAAAAAGCATATCATAGATGATTAAAAATTACACCTTTTTGACGATTTTGATCAGGAACAAGAAATGATTTTTACTTGGACTGAGAAGCAAAATTATTTTTTTTAAGGATTTGGTATCATTAAAATTATACCTTTGGTAGAAAGTAATCGACGAACTCTAGGCCGGGCTTGGAACCGCAGGGTTCCGCTTGATGGCTGGAGGAGGATAAGAAGAAAATAGATCAGATATTTCAAGAAAGAGACGAATTACGAAGGGTAGAAAAAAATAAGTGGTAGAAAAAAAAATACCTGGTTTGCCACCGGAGAGGACGAGCGACTTCGGGGGCAGGAAGATAACCTAGCCGGCGAGGTTTCGGGCAGAGAACCGGTGATTTGCGGTCGCCGGCGCCGAGATGTTCACGGGAGGCAGCGAAAGCGTTCGTCTGCATAGCGTAGTTGTTCATATTTTCGATAAACTCCTCCGGATCTGCAGTTAGAACGACTGTAATGAAAAAGAAACGGGATTTAAATTAAATCACAACCGAGGAAACGTAGGATTTTAATTGTTTTTGGAGGAAGACAAGGGGCATATGGCTAAGAAAGGCTCAAGTGTTTGAGGCAAATCCAGAGAGAGAGAGAGGAACCTTTGCTGCCTCTCTTAGAAAAGACGATAAGGCTGATAACGGACGCCCGAGCTCACAGAGCGAGAGTGGAAGGAGACGAACGAAAGGGCTGAGACGGGTATCTTATAAAGGAGATAGGAATCAACCTAGCTTTTAAGTCGATTTTGTAAGCTTCCATTTGGATGATTTTAATAATTTGATATTTAAATTTTATTATATTTATATCGTGCAAGCAAACAATTATCTTTTTAAAAACTTTTCAAATGATACCTTTGATATGAAAATTCAATTTTTCCACAGCATTAGAGTTTTTGTAAAAGCAGGCTTTCTTTTATTGATAACAATTTTACAGCAAACTACTGAAATGTTTATACAATTTTGAGCAGAAATCCAATAAAGAAAACACAAATTTCAGCAAAAACTTACAAATAAAACTCAACGCGAAAGAAGTAAAGAAAAAGTTCTTCAACTTTTCCTTACCTTCTGCAAGTAAAATAAAAAATGAAATTTACCATTGCATTTAAGCGAACGGTGCTTTTCTACAGCTTGTTAGGGCTTGCTCGCATTGTCGAGACACTGGACCGCTAAAGCCCTTAAAATCCCCTAAATACTAATTAAGAAATCTAATTAACGTAAATTATCAGTAATTTGGTTGTTCGCGGCGACAAGACGCGTGATATGATCCAGCTAATACAGAAGTAAACGAGATATGACGACCGTCGGAGTCCACTCGTTTTTTCGATAATTGTCGAATTTTTATTCAGTTTTCCAATTTTACTTCCTGCTGACCCTTTCAAAATTCAGCAGATTTTTGAAAAGAAAGAACCTTCTACGATTTTGACACAGAATCTGGTTTAAATAGGTCGCAGCGTCACAACCGTGTTAACCTTTTTAGAACTGACCTGCGTGGAGCTAAACAGACCTAGTGTTGTTTGAATTACTTGTTTGCTTTAAAATTGGTAATTTGAAGGAAATTTTTTCGTTTTTGTTGTTATTTATGTAAAAGAGAAAATTGAGATGGAGGCATTGTAGTTTTTACAAAACGGTGATGATCAGCAGAAATTATTACGTGCGGTTATTATACTATATAGAGATGGATCATGATGTGTCACATCACCCGGTACACAACAACAATACGCCGTTGTAGTACAGGGTAAAATGTTGACGTGGCGTGTCATGATTCTCCTCTGGATGATTTTCGGTGATCATTAGAGGACAATTTTTGTCAAATGCATTGTGTACTGACAAGAAAAAAATTAGAATTTTGATTGGTCAGGGCCATTCGCTCATCGTCTAAAAAAATAACAATCATATTTTTGATAAAATAGTTAAAAAAAATCATGCTATGGCTATGTAGTTATTATAGTCTAGTAGCTGAGAATTTAAACTTACAATTAAGAGATGATGAATTTCATATCTTGTATATACTAGTGCGTGAATTCGGGATTAGTTCTATTAAAATAATAATAATAATAATAAACTATGAATGCTTACTAAGTTTGCTGGAATGAGTTAGAACGATATATAATTGCTGGCATGCATTCCTAGTTTCCAATGAAATTTGATAGCCTTACAACTGTTGAGGATATAACGTTTTATGAAGTTTAAGATCCATCATTGTAAATAATTTGAACCATCATAGCATTAAAGAGGCATAATTGATATGCCATTTGCAAGTTCATCTGATCAAAATTGAATATGTTATAATTTAAATTTCATTTTGAAATAGTATGATTTAATGAGATAAATTCAATGAATCAAAGAAAGACTGGATATGATCTCAACTAAGTCTAAATTATGTACTCAAATGAAATAATTCAAAACTACGAAAGACTAATTGGAGTCTAACATACTCCAAAATATTGATGCTCATATTAAAAATGAGCGATTGGATAAGGAGAAACTATGATGTCAAAAAATTATTTTATGAACAAAAGTAAACGATTAAACTTGTCTAAGAATCTTCTAAATATTTGCAAAAATGATTGAAAACAACTCCATAATTTTTTAAATAGGCCAAATTTCTAGAAATTGAAGAGAGCCTCTTAAATTGAATGAAATCCAAGATTCATAATATAAATAAATAAATAAAAACATATAAGAGTTTAGAGCTGCATTCATTATTGGGTATTGGTTCTAAGATTGACTATATTTATCACCCAATCTTGATACCTTCCATTATCCCCATCTTGGCGCTAGCCATTGACTAACATCAACTACATCATCCTCACAACCTTGCATAGGTTGTCAATCTACATTTACACGTGCATTTTTGGTTATTTTGTCTCCCCTTAATGTTAAGAGAGCAACTAAATTAATCACCCATCATCTTTGAACTTCTAACATTCACCATTAATTGTCTTTCAATACAACAACATCATCATCATCATCATCTAGCCTTTGTCCCACTACATGGGGTCGAGAACATGAATCCTTTTTCTCCATTGTGTCATGTTAAAAGTCAAATTCTAGTTTAAATCTAATAAAGAAATACCATTTCTAATGTTTTCTAACCAAGTCTTTTTAGGTCCACCTTTACCTTTCTTAACATAAGTCAAATATAATACCTCTACTTTCCTAATCGGGTCATCGGAAGGCCACAATTTTATGTAACCAAACCATCTAAGGAGACTCACTCTAATCTTATATTCCACTGGCGCTACTTCAACCTTTTCACGTATATGCTCATTTCGTATCATATCTCTCTGGGTAAAGCCACTTATCCACCTGAGCATCCTCATCTCTGCAACACTTAACTTAGTGTTATGCTTCTCTTTTAATGGCTAACATTCGACACCATTAAGCATTGCAGGTCTCACCACCATTTTATAGAATTTTCCCTAAAGTTTGAGGGGGACTTTTCTATCACCCAACAAGCCCGATGCATTCCTCTACTTCAACCATCCAACTTGAATTCTATTGATAATATCCCCATCTTTTTCACCATCAATATGTACAATAGATCCAAGATATCTAAAACTTGTACTCTTATTAATGACTTGATTGCCCAAAGTCACAATCTCTTCACTAGGTCTATTACTACTAAAATTACACTCAATATATTCAGTTTTAGATATACTCAAGCGAAAACCTTTAGACTCTAAGGTTGACCTCCATAGTTCAAGTTTACCTTTAACTCCCTATCTAGTCTTATCAACAAAAAGAATATTATCAGCAAAAGGCATACACCAAGGTAAATCCTTTTGCAAATGTCTAATGAGAACATCCATGACTAAAGCAAAAAGATATGGGCTTAAGGCTGATCCTTGATGTAATCCAACCAAAATAAGAAAATACTTGGTCAAACCACATTGTGTTTGAACACAAGTAATAGCTCCTGCATATATATCTTTAATGATTTGAATATAAGCATTGTAAACTCTTGTCTTTTCAAGGGCTCTTCATAGCACTTCTCTTGGAACTTTATCATATGATTTCTCTAATTCAATAAATATCATATGTAAATCATCCTTCTTCTCTCTATATTTCCTCATCAAACCTCTCAATAAATATATGACTTCCATAATAGACCTACCCGGCATGAATCCAAATTCATTTTTGAAAAACATTAGTATCACACTACCACCTACGCTCCATAACTCGCTCCCATAGTATTAAAGTATGACACATTAACTTATTTCCTCTATAATTCACACAATCTTGTCCATTACCTTTATTCTTAAAAATAAGAATTAACACACTCATTCTCCACTCTTCTGTTATCTTTTTAGTCTTCAAAATAATATTAAAAAGTTTAGTAAGCTAAGAAATTCCTTCATCTCTGTTGACCTCTCTTTAGCCCAAACTCTTGGTCAAAGAGTTTGACTTGGTCAATTTGACAAAGCTAGGTCCCAAGACCCCTCCCAATCAATTATTTGGGTCAAACTAAGTCTGTTGAGCACAGGCCCAAGCCCTGGGTAACCCTAGTTGACCAGGTTAACCTAGGTTGACCTAGATTGACCCAAACTCTCCATACTTGATTTTAAATCCAATTCAAACCTTCTAGGCTCAACCTCTCATCTCCCTTGTGTCCCATGGGGCAGACCAAGTCTCTTGAGCTCAGACCTATGCTCTGGATCAACTTGGTTGGCTAGATCAACCAGGGTTTACCCATATTAACGCCTTTAGCCTATTTAACCCCAATTTGATTTCAAATCAATTTCAAGCCCTCTTGGACTCAAATGCCCACTTCACTAGACTAAATGGGTCAGACCTAACCCATTGGGCCCAGACTCATGCCCAGGTTGACCCGGTCAATCTAAGTTGACCTATTAAACTCTTTTTGAGTCTTAATTCCAATCCTAAACGATTCAAGAGGTTCTTTGGCTCAAACCCTAACCTCTCTCGACCTAATGGGCCAAGTTGACCAAGTCAAGCTTTGACTTGGTCAACCTAAGCCTCATGAGGTCAATTCGATCTATTTAATGCCTAATTAAAGCCCATTTAATGCCCAATTGATTCCAAAGACATTTGAATTGAAAACCATGGCCAAATCTATTGGATTTTCCTTTTAATTGACTTGTGATTTGATCCTAACCATTGTTGATAGGTTTGGAATGTTTAAATAGAAGAAATTAGGGTTGATACAGGACTTTTGACTCTTGCTCTCTCTCATAGCAACCTCAGCCTATGAGATTTGGTTTGAGAGCTCCCCCCACCCTCCCCTACTATTTCCAAGGCAAGACTGACCGGTCAAGGCCACCGGCTATGATCCTCCAGCATACCCGAGATGTTTTCCTTCCTAGGCTTCTCCCTTTCGATCCAAGATGAATGAAGGAGCGGGATAACCTAGGAACTTTTTCATAGACAATCTACAAGCTCAACAAGTTCAATATCTACTGAACCCACCGTGTGGATTTATATATATCACAAACCCTAATTTAGGGCACTTAGATTCAAATAACATTTTATTTACTACGTCTTAGACTGAAATATTATTTTCCCATGAATGCTCTTCGCTCGTATGCTTTGTATTTAAAATTTCATCATGTTTGAACCATTAGATCGAGAGAACGAGGAGAAAACCCCATATTAGGGTTCAGTTTACGTAGGTTTCCCTTACGTACGATCAGAACTATTGATCTCGCGATCAACGGCACTAATTCTACTGTTCCATGGTTTGATCTGACGGTGAAGCTTGGTCTTGCGGTCTGCGATTTCGCCAGGCGAGATCTGGAGCGTC